AGACAAGGGAGAAAGTTGACGAAGAAGAAGATGATGAATGATAAAAGAAAAAGGTAAAAAAAAAAAAAAAGTTAATAGAGTTTAAGATAAAAAAATAATTTAAATTGTCATTAAAAGTTAAAAGATTAAAATAATAATAAATAAAAAATAAAAATAAAAACAAAATAAAAGTAAAAATTAGAGGAGCAATCTATTATTTTGCATTTAAAGTTTTATAGTTATAAAATGAGGAAAATCAGCTTCCAAGTCTTAAAATGGTTAAACATTATATCAATCTAAATTACTCGGCATGTAGCTTTTTGTCGTCCATTCTTACCATTCATATTATGCTATTTCCATCTTCATAACTAAAAGTTCTTTGATGTGTGACTAGGAAAGGGTGGTCACTAGATAGATCATTAGTTGCCTATGCATTAAGACTTGTTAGCAAGACAATCTATTTTTATGGATACTCCTCAAAATCAATTGTGATACCTCCTGCAACTCATTCACAGCAAGATCGCATCCATGTCAAACAAGGCAGCATAAGATTACCAAAATAACAGCAGTACATACGGCACTGATTAACTTTTATTTTAAATAAAAAAACAGAGTCATCGAACTATAGTTGTATACAATAGAATGATGTCTTGAATTGACTAAAAATATTTGAATATTTGTTTATATGGGTTGAATTTTTTTCTTAAATTTACTTCTGAATTAAGTTTGATCTGTTTTTAATGAACATAATATCAGAGCCTATATAATCTTAATGATAGGTTACTTACTGATATTTTTTTTTACAAATTTCATGTATCAAGTGTATTCCAGATGGGAGAGTAGTATGTTAAAATGTCTTATATTAACTAAATAAGTGGCTAAGTACTTTCATAAAGTTAACAATTTTTGAATTAACTTTTAAAAATAAATTAATTCTAATTGGTTTCTAATGTACTAGCTGTCTTGACTAATGCTCAAAATCAATTGTTAATATTTAGTTTCAAGAGGCAATAGTTATAGAAACACTACTTATTGAAAGATGAGGCTATAGTAGTAAAAGAAATAACACCCAATTGCATATATTAAATCTCAGAATTTCTTTGGGACTAGTAGACGTATGATTTTTGTTGAATTTGTTTAAAATCATATTCTCAAGCCTTTGGATCATATTGCGTGATTGAAACAGTTTGTGAACACAAAAATTAGATCATATTTTGTCAAAAAGAATGAGAAATCCTTTTGTTTCTGCATAAACATATTCTTTCTTTTTTTTAAAAATGAATCTACATAATCATATAGCTTGTTACTTTAAATTTCCCCGTCAATATATTATTTTGTATAGGTATATATGAAAACCAATTTTAAATTTATAAATATTTTAAATAAAACACGATTTAACAGTTCTACAAGTTGATGCCAATCTAAAATAGTAAATAATGCATTATTAAGATCTAGACACGATATTTGTTAATAGTTCTGCAAGTTGATCCCGATCTAAATAGCCGACACAGAAAAAATAGTAATTAACATGCGATTGTTACAAACAGCTTACTATTGAATTAATATAGGATGGATCATTGAAGCTATATTTTTTAATTTGTAAATCTTTCAACTTTGGATAAGATTTGATACGAAAGAGACTGCTTATAGGCCACTTGTGACTATGGAGAAGAGATCAAAGCACGTGATTTAACAATTGGGTAAATATCTGCGAGTGCAAGCCTGTCTTGTTCTGTATTGTGCATGGATAAAGCAAAACATGAAACCACCTATGACTAAAGCTGATTGATTTTGTCTATGTGCGTGCGTCCAAACCTTTATTATTTGACAAATTGACTTCCGAAAAACATCACAAAATAATAACAACACTTGACTGCACCGCTTTTTTATATAAATAATATTATTTTAGAAATTATTTTCTAAAATAAAATTAATTAAAAATTAATTTTTTTTGAGATTTTTTTTAGTATATTACAGTTTATATATTTTTTTTTAAATAATATTTTACGTATATACTTATTCCTGTGATAATATGTGTCAAGCGCCGAATGAGTATTTCCTTTTTTAGACGATAGTACTATTATCAACTTTATAGCAATACTGCTATTTACGTGTCAGGTACGATATTATGTGAGATGTTAACACATGACATTTATTTAAAAATATTTAAAATTATTTAAATTTAAAAATTTATAAAATTATAAATTTTAATAATTTAATTTTAATTGTAGTATTAATGATTAGTAAAAAAAAAAGTTATGATAAGTTTAATTGACATATTTTTTTTATAAAAATACAAATTAAATTTATAATTGATTGAGTTATAAAATTAAATATTTTAAAAATAAGATTATGAATTTTCAAATAAAATGAAGAATAATAAATTATAGTATTAATTTTTAATAAAACAATTAGTTAAAATAAGTTTAGTTAACATAACATACATAAAAATAAAAATTAAATTTATAATTATCTGACTCATTAAAATTATAAATTTTTAAAATATTATTAAAAATTATAAAATATTTATTTTAATTTTAGTATTAATTATTTTAAATATAATTTTAAATATTTTTTAAATTTATAAATTAAAATATTTTAAATATTTTTAAATTAATATCACGTGTCAATATTTTATATAATATTACACCTTATACGTAAATAGCAATATCGGCATAAAGTTAGCATAATACTATTATTTAAAAAAGAGAAAATATTTATTTTATATTTAACACGTGTCATCATAAGAGTAAGTCTCGTTTTAATATGTATGATATTATTTTAAAAAATAATAAAATAATAGTATTGTCAATAGAATTCTAATACATTTACTGATCTAGCAAAAAAAGCTTCAAATAAAAAAATGTTTTTTAATTAACCTTATTTTAAGAAATAATTTTTAAAATAATATTATTTATATAAAAATGTCTGACTGCACCCTTAAAAGGCTGATTCCATGCTGTGTAACAGCGCAATCCATTTGGACCATAATATCGTTAAGGGTATTATTATTTACTGAAATTTAGTTTGGATGAGTTTGCAAATAAGTATTTATAAGACAACAAAAATTAGATAAGAAATAAATAAATTTTTTATATATTCAAGTTTTGAAGAAGTGTAACTTAAATATAAGTTGATTTTAATTATGAGAAAAGTTTGGTATATATTAATACTTAATATTTTATCTAAATTGAAGCTAATACTAACAATATTAAATTAGTTATAGTCAATGTTACTTTTTTAATAAAAATAAAATAATAATACAAATATTATGAATTTATATTAATAAGATAGTATTAAACTAACAAGTTTTCTTATATTTCATATTAATACAACATGTTCTATTATTTATGTAAGTCTTTAAAATTTATATTAATAATTTTTAAATAAAAATTATATCAATAAAAACAATTTATCACTTAATAATTTTTATAAAAAAATAAATAGTTAGAATAGAAATCATTGTTGTTGTTTAATAATAAAAATAAAATTAAACTAAAATAAAAAATATTATTTAGTCAGTTAAAGGATAAATTTCACTCCTTCACGTGATAACGACATTGGTCCAAAACAAAATATATCCATTACAAGACAATGCTCATTTTATCAATGTCTGAACCCTCTCTCTTAACTTAAAATTATAATTACTATGTTTTTGTCATTATCTCATCACTTTATCATCTATTATTATCATTATAATTATTAATTTATTATTATTTTTATTCTAATCATTATTAATACTTTTTTTAAAAAAATCTTATATAATTTATATTATTATTTACATGTTAAATTCTTGACTCAAGTAATAGTATACTTATATAAATTATATTTATTTTTACATTGTTTAATAACTTTTTATTAAATAATTTATTTTTAAAAATAAATATAAGTTAAAATTTTTAATCACATAAATTATACTAACAAAATTTAATATTAATTTAAAATTATTTGATACATTATTCATACATATCAAATTTAACATAATATATATATATATATATAGTTTATTAATAATTATTCATTTGTATTCACGCTCTAAATAAAATAATGATCATCAATAATATGTCGTGCAATTATGTGTAATTGTAACTTGATATAAATTTATATTACGAGAAAACTTTTTGATACTTTTCTGTTATTGCAATAATTTTAACTTTAGAATTTTTATCCAAATTTAGATAATTTTTATAAAATAAAATAAATAAAAAATCTATATCATTAACTTAAAATAACTGTAAATCATATATACATATGTATAATAAATTTAGTTAAAGTTCCTTTAGAAAATTGAAATAAAGTCAATTATATCTAGGCAGTTGTGCATTCCATTAAGAACTTAGCTTAATTGTTTGTCTCCAAATACATTAGTTAGTTTCACAATAAAGTTTATTCTCAATATAAAAGAACATTTAAAAGAATTTATAAAAATAAAATTTAGTTTTTATAAGTTGTATTTTATTTTAATACTCTTTTAAAAAATTTTGTAGTCAAAATTATGAAAAATATAAATATTTATACAAAATGAATATTAAATAAATGCTTAATTAGATTATATTTTCTTTCGCAATCTAACTGGCTTTACTCAGGCTTTAGACTTTTAGTTCAAATATAGGAATGCACCTGAAAATTGTCACATAAATAAATCATATGGACCTATATATAAGCTACTGTTTCTTATCCCCAACGGAGAATGGAAACGTTGAACCCATTTTACATCAAGACATGACGTTTAATGAACTCTTTAACTCCCTAGTCTCACTTAAATAACGAAATTACAAATTTTCATTTTCTATAAAGAGAAAAGAGAGAGAGAAAGAGAGAGAGGGCCTCTATTTCCTGGAAGCTGCTAAAGCCTAAAAGGTTTGAATATAGAAATGTATTATTCTCGTCTTGGACTATTCTTGCTCACCTTAGTGGCGTGCGGTATCCAAGGATAAATAGCCATATCAGGAAACTAAGTTGAACAATCCTCCCATTTCAAGAGTGCTGGAGTCACATAAGAGTGAGAGCAACAAAACATTGTACGTACAATATTTCTCCATCCACACCAAATCGAAGATGGTTAGAGCTCCTTGTTGTGAAAAGATGGGTTTGAAGAAGGGTCCTTGGACCCCAGAGGAAGATCAAATCCTCATATCATATATCCAAAAACATGGGCATGGCAATTGGCGTGCCCTCCCAAAGCATGCAGGTACCCATTTACAAAAATTTAAAACTTTAATATGTACTTCTCATAATTAATATATCTCCATTCAAAGTCACATATAAACTTAATGATTCACATATATTACATGTGTTATGATATTATTGTGTGTATTGATTTTGTTCTGGTTTCTATTGTATTATTCCTCAGGACTATTAAGGTGTGGAAAGAGCTGTAGACTGCGGTGGATTAACTATTTAAGACCTGATATCAAGAGGGGAAATTTCTCAAGTGAAGAAGAGGAAATTATCATTAAGATGCATGAGTTGCTAGGGAACAGGTATGTATATTCATTGATTTCTTCTTCAGATTAATGACATTCATAAATTATAGAAGAAAGTTAATCAGGAGAAAGCATATAAAAATAATTTAGTTCCATGAACTAATAGAATGCTACACCAATCCAGTTTAGTTCATACAGGATGCTATTTGATGATCGTCATTTTAATTAAATTACTTAAATTGCAATGTGTGTGAATTGTTCTCAAAGCCAAATATGGGTTGTCAATTTCATGCCTCTTCCATTGTTCTTACTCTGAAAAATGAACAGGATTAAGTGGTTGGGGCAAGTAGCGTTAACTGGCTTTAAATAATAAAAAGTTGTGTTTAATCATAATTAATATATATTATACTAAAGCCACTAGTTGTGCAAAAAAAATCTACCCTTGCTCGACCCATTATTGGACTTTCATCATAGTCTAATAGTGAATAATTATTTAATCATGATGAGGACAAACTAAATACATTACTAAGGTTTTTTCGGTTTAACTTAGGGGTTACATGTCAAACCTCTATTTATTGAGTTAAGGTTGTATATATCTACCTCCGCCAAATTCTGTAAAGAGAGTTATGTAAAATTACCTTAAAACAATATAATTGTAGATTTTTAAAAAAATATAGGTGTAACTAAGCATCGACACTAATCGTTGTAGATTGCTTTAAAAAATTAAAATAATTCAATTTGATTGGTGTTAAGGGAATATAAATAATATTAATATATAAAAAGAGAAAATGCTAACTAATACACCTAAGAAATTAGTTAAGGATTTAAAATAAAAAGAAACTTAATTACGCTATATTTTCGATTCATTTTAGTATTATTTTTAAATACTATTTATTAATTCCATAAACAATGTTCTAAGCCATTGATTATCAAGACCTTGTAGAAAAATTAAAACAAGTAAACGAGGTGTAGCAAGATTCTCAGATTATATTATGACATTTCAGAGCACAAGCAACTATAATATATGCTAAATCTACATACCAATGAGTGCATAAGATTTACTGTCCATGTAATCCTACAATCAATACAATCCAACTTTGTTGTTTTCTAAATCACTTCAACCAAGGAACAAAACGCGAATCTCGTGCAAATATCTCGTACATTAAATTACTTGATCCTTGATTTCAGGTGGTCAGCAATTGCAGCAAAGTTGCCTGGAAGAACTGACAATGAAATAAAAAATGTGTGGCACACCCACTTGAAGAAGAGGTCGCTGAATTCAGATAGCAAAAGGGTTTCCAAGCCAAAAATCATACGATCTGATTCCAATTTCAGCACACTAACTCAATCAGAATATGCTAGTCTTAATTTCCGTGAAATGGACACTACATCATCAGCATGCACTTCTTCCAGTGATTTTTCATCAGCTAGTGAAGGAATTAAAATTATGGACAACGCCATCAAGAGTGAAGACATAGAGTCTATGGAGACAATGCCTCAAATTGATGAAATCTTTTGGTCAGAGGCAGCAATGGATGATGCTTGTTCCACCATGCCATCAAATTCTTGGACAGTATTCTCAAATGAATTAATACCCCTTCAATATCCATTTAATTCAATGGAGGAAACATTTCAACAGAGTTATGGTTATAACAAATCAAACTTCGATGATGGCATGGATTTTTGGTATGACTTGTTCATCACATCAGGGGAGTCATTAGAGGTGCCAGAGTTCTGATTACATTTTTTTATGAGCACAGTGATGGTATTATTAAATTTGTGCAGATAGCAACATTTTTTTTTCAGATAATTATTATCTCAGTAAATTGACCCTGACCGTTACAAGGAATTAAGGGGTACAATAATTTGTGAAGTGGGGGAAACGTTGTCTTAAGCACCAAGAGCCACATTCATTGATTGACAAAAGAAGCTACCCACATTGGCAATGGGTAATAATGATCATGCTGGAAAAATAATATGTGTAGACTCCATTTTTGGTTGTAAGAGGGGAAATGAAAAGAGAGAGAAAAAAAAAAGTGATGTGACAAGAAAAAAGGAATAAAAATATACTGCACAGTAATATAAATATTATTATTGAATTATGATGTAGCATTAGTATGTCATGCATAAGAAAAGGGGGCAAAAATTTTGTCTGTAAATCCGAGGGACTGAGAAAACACTGATATTGTTAATGCATGCATACTGTGGAAAACTTCATGTTCGCGGAACATTTTTGTTTCTTGTAGAAAATGTTTCATTGGGTTAGATTTATTCAATTGTAATAGCAATTTATTAGGTCAGATTAGACGTTCAATTATAATAGCAATAAATTATGTACTGAACTAATCATTTTTTTTTTCACTTTTCCTGTTTATTGTGTTGCTTGTCTTTCTACTTGTCAGTTTTGTTTGATTTATTATGAAAGAATCGTTGCACAAATGGGTGATTTTATTTGAATCGGTCCACCAAGAACATTCGTCGAACCTGGCGTAATTTTAACGTGCAAGTTAATTGAAAGGTAAATTTTGGTGAGCCAAGGGACTCAAACCACTTCTCATTTTGTGCTTCTTTGTTCTTTCAATAATAAAATAACAGCCCCAAGAAAAGAAGACGGCGAAAGAATCAAGAGACATGGATATATAGATAACTTCTATTATTTCATTAGGAGTACAAGTTCGACAAAAGATAGAGAAAAACGACTACTCCCCAGCCTAATAGCGTCCAAGCTAGCGCTGAAGTTTGGACCACACAGCACAACCCGTTTTTGAAATATATGCTTATATAAGAGGCTTATTATATTTTTAATACTTTTTAAAAAATAAATTCTTAAAATAATATTTTTTAAATACATATTTTCTGTCTTGACTTTTTTTTTTTAATGTCAACAACTACTATTTCAACAATTTTTTTTAATTTCTTTTTTATTAATGACAAAAATATCATTTCAAGTCACGTATCATCATCCAGTGAGATAAAATTAGTGAGTTTTGTTTATTATATAGATAAAACTTACATAATTGCAACATGTCTCATGTTTGACTTAATTTATAAAACTGTTTTGAAAAAATTATATTATAATATTTAATTAAAATTTATTAAAAATAAAAAATTATAATATCTAATATAAGAATAGAAAAGAATAAAATTATGTTTTTAATTAAATTAATTAATAACTAAAAATATATTAAAAAATTATGGTATTAAGATTTTGTTAGCCTCAGTTTAAATATCTATAAATTAAAAACTTATAAAAAGATGCATATTTATTATAAAAATTATTAAATTATAATAAATATTTATTATAAATTTACAAGTCAGAGTTAAAAATTAGTGAGTGAAAATATTAGAATAAATTGGCAGAGTTGAAAGGGGTGAGGCATGAAGTGATTTTTTAGCCCGTATAAAAAAAAAAAACCAACACTTTGTTTTTTCTTTAATATTTTAAAACAAGATTTTTTGAAAACATATTATTTGTTTGGAGTATTTTTTATAATTTTTATATGATAAATATGTATTTTTCTATAATTTTTTTGATAAAATTAATTTTAAAAATTATATTAATTTTGATAAAAAGTAATTTTTTATTTAAATATAATTTATATTTTATTCTATTATTTTATATTTATCTTAAATATTAAAAATAATGATATAATGTTATCTTTTTACTATCCTAATGTACATCAAACATACGATAAGTTAAGAGTTTATCATTTTCTTATCATATGCTTATCATTTCCTCATTTTATCATATTCAACAAACAGACCTTAATAGTATAGACAAAAGATTTATTTATTCCACGTGCAAGTAAATATTTCAAATATCTTAATAAAACTTATGTATGTAATCAATTGTTCAACCACCAAATAATGAGGAGGCATGGTACATAGAGGTTTGTTAACCAACTTTTATTATCAGAATCAATTGGAATAGAGGTTGCAATATAGTTGGTAAGGTTTTGTTACCCATGTCAAATTATCTCTACTTGCAACAATTCATTGGATAAATTTAATAACATGTTAAGGGAAAGCAACCATCAATTTATGATAATCCCCTACATTTGTCACCAATTAGTCTTATTGGATTGAATTCAAGTAATGTTGAGAGGTATAATTGAAGAGGATGAATGTAGCTTTGATCTTAATAGCTACCCATGACCACAGGCAATGTAAGATTAAAGATACAATGATTAAACCAGATTAAAGATGCAATGTTGGGTTTAACATACAAAAAAGACTCCAAGATATAACACATGCTTTATTCTATAGCATGCATTTCATTTGTGTATGACACTGCACATGCCTTTATGCTATTGGATATGTAAACCCTTGTTTTTGTTATTTATTATTTTGTATTGTATGTTAATAGTTTATGCATGTTGTTTGAAATCATGAGAGTTTAAGGTGTATGAGCTACAGGACTTCTCGTTGTAGCAAGAGAGATTATCCAGAAACAGGCTCTCTAGAGTCCTCTCGCTATAGCGAGAAGTGAATAAGGATAACCCAACAACATTCTCATTGTAACTAGAATTTAGCGTTGTAGCGAGAGATTCTCTTGTTGTAACTAGAATAACAGACAACAAAGGAAAAATATTGTCTAATTTTTTTGCTATAGTGAGTTGCTCGCTGTAGCGAAAAAATCATGAATTTGAGGGATATTTAAAGAACTTTCATCCTAAAAACTTCTATTTTAGAACCAAACAACCTTCCTTCTCTATTCTCTTCGTTCTCTCCCTCTCCCTCTCCTTCTCCCTTCTTAGAGAAAACTCTCCCAAATTCTGAACTTTTTCCAAATCTGAACTTGAACGTCTATTCCGTTCAGATCCAAGTAAGTTTCTCGGAGTTTAGTTCTTCAAACTTTATTCTATTTCTTTGTTTTTTCTCTTCTTATAAGTACTCTCTTTTGTGATATATAGGAAAAATCTTGCTCCTTGGTTGGTATCCTTGATTATAACCATGTGTTTTCTCTAGATCTCGTGAAGAATGTAGTCTTAGATACCTACTTTCAGGTAAGGGGAATTGATCTCGAACCTTAAGTCTTGTTTATGTATTTTTTTTATTTTTTTTAACTTAGAAAACTCAAACTACTTTATTATAAATAGCAAAGTTATAAGATTTTCTTGAAATTATAGTATTAAAAAGGGATTTTTGGTAAGAAAAACCTATGATTTAGTTTAATAATCACCTAAGATAAAATTTTATAGCAAAAGTTATGAACAAGAATGAATTTTCAAGAAGTTTTCATATGTGTGTGTGTGTGTGTGTGTAAGAAGACAAGTAAAGGATGATGAACTTTAGGATAGATAATTTTATTAAGACCGAGAGAGTATGATCTCTGGCAATATATTTGTAGTGTAATTATGTGTAAATTAAATTGTACGATTGAACTGAATTCAGAGGTGTCCGACCTTTGACATATTGTATTAATTTTTATGATGAGGTATTTCATTGTTTCATCAATATATGCTTGAATGAAATCTTTGACCATTATGTAAAGTGAATGATGCATAATTGATTGATTTAGAATGATTAAAATGTTTTTCTTCACCATATGTGATTGGACATTTTATCTATGTAAGAATAACATATGACAATGACTATGGATTTTGTTTGATAATCGATATATGGTGAATTTATGATAAAATGTTTCATTAGTGAAAAAATTTGATGAATAAAATGGTTGATGTAAATGGTATGCATGAGAAAGAAAATGTAATGAGTAATGCTGAGAAATGAAAGTTATGTGAAATGTGGAGAAAGTAAGTGTCATGAAAAATGATGAGACACTGTATAGATAATTACAGAGATATACTTGAGGTATAAAGTTCGGAGAAGATTTGAAAAATCTTGAAAAAATGAGGGTGATAAATATTATTTGTAAGTGGGTGCACAATAATTTGCTGAAAGTAAAAGCATTCACAGGTCACACACTTATTTTCTGTCGAGACTGCTGACTATACTTTTGCTAAAAGGGACCGGAGGAACATACGCTGTATCCATGTTGTTCAGGCTAACCAATGACTATCTATACTTATGTGAGACCTCAAGGAATCCCAAAGGCAATGACTATAAAAATGTGATATGTGTATTTATAATAGGTGAGTCATAACGGATTGATTGGTGTGAGTATAATACAAGTATTGTAATAAATCAACGAGTGTAATTATAATGTATATATTGTAATACATTAATTAATTTAGTTATAATGCACATATTATGACATGCTGCTCGATGTGGGAATATGTGAAATGAAAGGATTAATAGTTTATTTGAACTATTGTAATACTAGTTAATGTAATGGATTAATTGATATTATCTTAGTGCATATTATAAGGTTTAAAGTATGAAGGATACACCTGTTGTTACGATGATTTTGTTAAATTGACATTGAAAATAATACTTTTTACTATATTTGGCACTAATTTATATTCTTGTGTTATTTTGATTAATTTATGAATAAAAGAGATTTAGTAAGACAGAGGATATTAACCCTTACTAATTATTTTTAGGAATTGAAATTGAAAAAAATTAGAGAAGATTGACTCATCTAGAATTATATTTTTCAATAGGACTGTAAGGAAGGAGTGCTCTACTAGGGTTTAAAATAATTTGAGAAATTGTAATATTTTATTAAGTTGATCAGATTTTGTAAATATTTTAAATGTCAGTTTTAGAATTTGTGATACTTTGTTAAATTTTATTGTAATTAATAATTTAAAAGTGTATTCGTAATATTATTAA